TATATATATGAATAAAAGTGTGGCATATAAATTGCTTGTCAAATTGTCGAACAACATGTACATTTCTTATTGTTTTTATTAATTATGTAAAATAAGTTTGGACATATCACCAATATTCTGATGTAATATTTCTAAAGGTCCAATTTTCACCTGGTGTTGACATCAACCTATCCAGTCCATACAAGCAAAGATGACATAATTTACACAGGACAAAATACTGAACTCATTATGAAAGGGAGGTGTAAAAAGGCTCGGAAAGTCATAATATCAGCTGAAGTTCATCAGTAATTACAAAGAAATCTTGCAAACTAATACAGAATAATATCATCCCAAATTGTGGCTTATTAAAAATTATCTCATTATCAAGATGTTACACAAAGAAATAACGCTGTAGTGATACAATAATCTCACGATACGATACATAATATTCTGTTCACAATACGATATATATTGCAATATTCAGCAAATGATACAATTCAATACATTTTGCGATTTTCTGAAATATTTTAGAGGGACAGAGAGATTTTGGTGACATTTTGTGACTGTTATAGAGTTGGATTGAATTAATTTAACTGAAAACTGATTAAAAGCACCAACTACACAATACCTGGCTCTGGTTGGACATGGACACAGACTTAAAGTCGCTGGACAAAATGAATCAAAGAAGTGGTGAGAAAACATGTTTCTTTTAATTGAAACAGTACAAACTGTAGCTAACATGCATTTGTAAAGTAAATAAAGTGCACCAAGTACCCTGCTCCGAATAGTTTGATACCTTTTTAACCTTGACACTTAACATCTGAAGGAATCACTCTAAGCCTGATGACCTAATCACTCTCTTGGCGAAGCAAGCAGTGAGTGAGCAAGGTGACAGTTGGATTTTACGATACTTGCAGATGAATATAATTTTTTTTCTAGGAAAGAAAATATCGATATATATCGCAAAATCGATATAATTACACAGGCCTACAAGGAAAGTTGCATGATGGTCAAACCTAACAAGCTTTTCTCAAGACTTCTGCAACTTTATTTTTGCAAAACTTACTGATTGTTGTTGATGCTATTATCAAGAAGTGGAAAGAACATCATTTTTTACCACAAATCAGACACAACTAGTTGATCCCTGCAAGATTACAGACAGAGGATGGAAAATAATTATATGAAGAGCTGGTCAAGGGCTACTTGTAGAAAGCTTTAGAAAGATTAGCAATTAGCAGGTTACTTATTTT